CTGAAAAGCTTTGAAATACTTAGTTACCAATTTTTTTTTTTTGTAATTTTTAATTTATTGACTATATTATTTATATACAGTATAATAATAGGTTGTTTGTTGTATATTTATTTGTTAATTATTTTATGTACTTGGTTATTTATATTGGTGTTCCTGTGGCTCAGTGGTAGAGCATTGCGCAAAAGGGTTAAATTCCCAGGGAACACATATACTGGTAAAAAATTTATAGTCTGAATGCACTGTAAGTCGCTTTGGATAAAAGTGTCTGCTCAATTTTTCTTTTTTTTATTATATTAGTGTTATATTACATCCCTACTGTGTTATTCCTATGTATGTCTGCACTATCATGTATGTCTGCACTATGTTTGTACTTTCTATTACACTGGAAGCTCCTGTCGTCAAGTCAAATTCCTTGTGTGTGTAAGCATACTTGGTAATAAAGCTCTTCTGATTCTGATTCTGATTCTGATATATATATATATTATTATTTTTTTATAGTCTGTATAGGTGGTAGGAAATGGCTCCATTTGGTGAGATGAATGAGGCCACATCTGGTCGGTCGGGCCACAGGTCTAACCATATTCAAATAGATTCAGATTTAGGAGATTTTCTTAAAGGTGGCACATAACCATACAAAAAAAAAAAATCAAAAGATGAGCTCATACATAAGCTTTAGAAATATTATCATAGCCAGCCTTATTATTTTACATGCTATTTAAATTTCAAATGTCATGAGCATGCAAACCAATGAGCAAAGTTTCCCGACATATCCGTGCCTAGTGTATTTTCCTAAAGTACCACAATGGAAGGCAGGGAGCATTCAGCCTATTTAAAATTAGACTAATCATGGCGACTGAACATTCATTACACTGATTTATAGTGTCATTCAGAATGAGCTTTATTCGCAGACACACAGGGAATTTGTTGTGTTTTTTTTAGGAGCTCTTTGTACAAACATACATTTATACATATATAGCATTGAGAACAGAAAGAACATTTAAATAAGTAAGACTAAGGAAAATAATAATAATGTGGTATGCATCTGGAACAGAATATTTCTGTACAGATTTGTGCATAATTTACTGTATATACAGCTGTATAAATAAAAATATGTATATGTATTTACATAATACTTGAGAGAGAGGCAATAATTAGTTATTAATAAATGAATTACAGAAGACAGGTGGTCATTTCTGTTTAAGCTAGGGATGGCATGGGGGAAAATATTTTTATGCCTAGATGTTCTAGTGCACAAAGATCTGTATGTCTGCTTGAGGGGAGAAGTGCAAACAGGTTGTGGCCGGGGTGAGAGGGGTCTGTGATGATGTTACCTGCCCGTTTCTTCACTCTGGAGTTGTACAAATCCTGAAGGTTGGGCAGGTGCACACAGATTATTCTTTCAGCTGTCCTAACAGTCTTTTGCAGTCTTCTTACCTGATTTGCTGGCTGACCCAAACCAGACAGTTATAGAAATGCACAGAACCGACTCTATAACAGCTGAGTAAAACTGTGTCATCTGCGCCTGTGGAAGGTTGAACTTTTTCAGTTGATGAAGGAAGTACAACCTCTGCTGGGCCTTTGTCACGATGGAGTCAATGTGAATATCCCACTTCAGGTCCTGAGAGATGGTGGTGCCCAGGAACCTGAATGACTCTATTCAGTTGATGAAGGAAGTACAACCTCTGCTGGGCATTTTTCACGATGGAGTCAATGTGAGTGTCCCACTTCAGGTCCTGTGAGATGGTGGTGCCCAAAAATCTGAATGACTCCAGTGCTGTTCATGATGGTGAGAGGAGGAGTGCGGGGGCTTTCTCCTGAAGTCCACTTTCATCTCCACAGTTTTGAGCATGTTCAGCTCCAGGTTGTTGTGACTGCACTAGACAGCCAGCTGCTAGCAGACTCGTCGCCGTCCTGAATGAGACCCGATGACTGTGGTGTCATCTGCAAACTTCAGGAGCTTGACAGAGGGGTCTTTAGAGGCGCAGTCGTTTGTGTAGAGGGAGAAGAGCAGTGGGGAGAGCACACACCCCTGAGGAGCTCCAGTGCTGATGGTGTGGGTGTTGAATGTGAGTTTTCCCAGCCTCTCTAGCTGCTGCCTGTCTGTCAGGAAGCTGATGATCCACTGACAGATGGAAGTGGTGGGTACAGAGAGCTGTGTCAGTTTAATCAAGAGGGTATCCGGGATGATGGTGTTAAAAGCGGAGCTGAAGTCCACAAACAGGATCCTTGCAAAGTCCCTGGTTTGTCTAGATGTTGGAGGATGTAGCTCAGTCCCACGTTGACTGCATCATCCACAGACCTGTTTGCTCAGTAAGCAAACTGCAGGGGGTCCAGCAAGGGTCCCGTAATGTCCTTCAAGTAGGCCAACACCTAGTTGTTGTTGTGACTAGTTTTAGACAAAACTCACTCTTGAAACTGTGCAGCCATTAAAAAAAGTTGTAAGATGGCCCCTGGTTAAAGGCATTATTTACCTTTTTGTACTGAGATTTAACATATTCATCTAAAAATATAAAGACATAAATGGCTGAGATGGGTAAGATGAGTTTTATATAAATGTATTAATTATATAATCAAAGTATATGAATATATTATTAATACAATCCATTTAAATTATATATTAATTAAATTAAAGAATAAAGTGTCATAATCATACACATAATTTGCACTGAATGGTGTGTATACTAGTTTTTCCTCAAATCATAGTTTCAATATTTTATTGTTAAAAACAAAACCAGCTTGGATTTTCATGTTTTTTAATGAAAAAAAAAAAACTAGGTATATTTGAATTAATAAAGAGACATAACACATTGTGCACTAGAAATGGCATGGTGCAGTAATCAAGAATGCGTCTTTATGATAGATGATAAAGTGGTGTGATGAGACAATAGGGATAATTGTTGTTTCTGCAGCGTGGTGAGACTTGTTAAGTTTAGGGACTGATTGCTTGCTGTGCTGCTTGAATGTAGAGACACTGCTGAAACAGGACCTGAGGGGATAAGCGTGATTACATTGAAGGTGCGGTAGGGTTTGCTTATCTTTGCAGTCTATTTTATTTAAATGAATGATACATTTATACACTAAATGCAAGCTTAATGGTCGTTTTGTTGGGATTTTGCTGATTTACCTTTGTTCTCATGTTTCAAAAAGCTAACTTTGTTTAGAGATTTACAATAATTGAGATTTATTTTACACAGCATACAGTGAGTGTTACCCTGCTCAGCAGTACCACCAAGCGGCTGATCACTGCAACTGTTCAAACAGAAAAAAAAACAACAGAGAAACAAATTAATCATTTATTATTATTCAGGCCACTAATTCATACACACAATGACCTGAATACTTCTCTTCTATGATGAACATGCTGTCAAGGCAGTGAACAGTGCAGAGATAATAGAGAAAAAAGCTCTGATAAATTTTACAACTTTATTAGGTAGGTTATTATTATTATTATTATAATTATTATTATAATATTTTTAAGCACTTTCCTTTTCAAATATTTTTATTTATTTAATAAGAAACAGTAGTGCAGCATTTGTCAGCGTGGTATAACCAGCATGCAGTATTTGAGCAACAACGTCAGTAGGACAGTAGTTGTCTTCCTATGGTCTGGTGGCACAGGGGAATTTACAGTACTAACAGGACCTGAGACTGGGTTTTGTCTCTTGGTACTTGTGATGAGATGTTTGACAGCACGTTCTGACAGCGAATGTTTCCACTGGGCAGCTGGAACTGCTCACAGCAGCCTGAACCCAAATGATTCTGTAAAAAATACCAAAAGAGCAAGAGCAGTTCTGTGGAAGAAGGAATTTAGTTTGCTCTCCAGCCTATTACTGTTGTTTGATATATAAATAAATAGGCAGACAGACAGCAAGATAGATGGATAGATGGACAAATGGATAGACGATAGACAGATAGATAGACAGACAGAGATATAGACAGACGGACGGACGGAAGGAAGACAGACAGACAGACAGACAGACAGACAGACAGACAGATAGATAGATAGATAGATAGATAGATAGGCCACAGAGCTGTAAATAGTAGAGACTTGTTGAAAGGGTCAAACTGATAAACACACGTTAAAACTCTCATGTGGCCCACAACACAACAAAAAACACTTTGGAAACAATATTTGCCAGAATAGCAGTTTTTGTGACTCGCTGTCCCTGGTCCTAAAGACCTAAAATTTTATTTGTTCCTTTGCTCTACCACATTGCTTATGGTTCATCATTATGATTGCTCATCTAGGTGTGTTTAGAGCCCACCCTCTGGGCCCTCATGTTTACACACTCACAGAGCTCATTTACAGACAGTCACTGGCACAGAGAACAACAGACAGACAGACAGCTCAACCGGATCCTCACACAAGACAGAAGCTACTGACAATCATCCGCACCAACAGGATTTATGATTGAATGATGAAGGACATCTCACTGCAGAAACAAGGTATTCGATATTTGTGTTTGTTGTTGTAGTTTTTTTAATATATAAGTTGAGCTATGTTGAAAGAGTGCAACATGAGGTCACATTTATGAATTACAATGTATGTTAGATTAATATTTTTGTGTTACCCTTTACATTTTTTGCATTTCATAAATGCTTTATTGTTTAAACTTAAGTAAAAGTCTATAATAGTGTATAACTGTAATTTTTTCTGAAGAATAACATTGAAAATGTTGCTGTCTCATTAACAGTTTTGCATTTCACATTTGTTTAGCTGTTTAAATTTAGCTGAAAAGCCTATAACAGGTTCCATCGTGATAACTTACCCCTGTATGGATTTGCT